AAAAGAGTTCCCCTACCGGGTCTGTATACTTCGTGACTTTGTTCCCGGTTACCGGGTCTGTATACACTTCGGTGATCAAAACCTCACACTTCTCAATGCTTACTCTCTGATAATGACACAATGCGCTTGCATTTCATAGGACCACTGTTTGACCTATTAAAAACAGAAACGTTTGTTTACTTCCACCCTTAGCCCCACCCATCGGTGTAACAAGCACAGTCGACCAGTGCTGCCCTCACTGCTGTGTGTAACAAAGATTCCAGGAATTCTTTTCTCAGCTTTCTGTATGATCAGGACAGCAGGCATTGATCAGACAAATTTCACACCTCTGCCTTCTGGCTACACAGGAAAGTTTCTGTTGTGTCTCGCTCCTGGAGCACTTTCACTGTGGCGCTCGTGAGATTTTCACACCCACACTACCCTGACCATCTGCATCGATCTGGGTTCACATAGATGGGGTAACTTCTACCCCCAAATTGCACTCTTAACTATGGCGTTAAGTGTAAAGGCAGCAGAACCAAACTTGCGAGTTTTGTTTCAAATCAAGGCTGGTCAGGCAAAGCATTTTCCGTCTTAGACAGGTAAAACGCCCGGAATGGAACGGATTTTTCTCTCCGTTTCCGAGTTGGACAGGTTTCCATTTTATAGAGGTAAATTAAAGAGGAATATTATGTGTCTCTACGCGATGGAATCAGGCGCTCGTCAATTTTTTGGCTTGTGAAGTTATAAAAGTATCATCTGAAAGCTGATTTATTTGCCTTGCTTCCCTTGAAATAAATATAGATTTATCATGAATAGAAAGATATATTTGTAATTGAAGGAAGTGAGGTCACCTGGTTTCAGTGGTGAAATTAGCGAGAAAATGGTCTCCAAAGTTGGTAACTCCAACAGCTAAAGAGTGTTTGAAAACTGAAAAATGGCATGTGCCTTTAATCTATTTTTGTCAGTAAAATTTACATGGAATGGAAATGTGTGGTACAAAAATGTCCAAACTGCTGGAAAATTGCCTGTTTCTCTAGATTTAGTTATTTTGACGAAAGCCTGATTTTACCACGCTTCCTCACATATCAAGAGGGGAGCGGAGAGATTCCTTAAGACATGTTTTCATTTACAGGTGTCCGTTTTAAGGCAGGTTGGACTAGTCTGAAAGTGAAAGAAAGTTCTGAATTCATGAAGTCTGGGTGAATGAGTTTAAACCCTGAGCTCAAAACTCAAACCCAAACTGACCTAAGTCTAGTGCCTAAAGTTTCAAAGTCTTCCCAGAAAGGCCGAAGTTGCCCAAAGCATGGTTACTCTTTGTGTAATCAGGTTGATTTCTCTTTTCATAGACTTATTTCTAAGTTTAATTGGTAAACTATTTACTTTCACTCCTTCATTCAGATGTAGATTGGGAACTAAGTGGTCATATTTTTGGCTGGAAAACGCAAATTAAATGTGGTAATCAGAGCAGTTTCCTGACGCTAGAAAATCACCAGCGAATGTGTATCGTTTGTTGGGCAAAACTTAGAAAGTTGCACAGTCGATAGGGTCATAGCTATATTAATCAAAGAGATATTTTATATAATAGTTACCTGTCAAAGATAAAATTATGTATTTTTATTATTTTTTATAACACTTCCTTCTTTCTGCTCTTCAGTTTACTACTCAGGTTTACCGATGACACTTTTGATCCAGAACAAGCAGCAACCATTGGTATGTTGGATCCTTTTAGATACTTGTGCGACTAAACTGTTGTTGGTTCATTGTTACTTTGCTGTGTATGATAGTCCATTTTATGAAGACTTTCATATGCTTTTAATGCAAAAAATGACTTGTTTGTACATTAGGATTATTTTCCATATAGTCATTTTTTCCCCTTTCCTTTTGTTAAATCATGAAAGTGAATCAATAAAAATTTTCAAAAGACGATTTAATTTTGTGTACCTTTTTGGGATAGAATGTAAAAAAAAAAAGGAATGTACCATAGTGGTTGTGAATCAAGTATCATCTTATTAGTTTAAAATGTTTTTTGACCAAATTAGTTTTGATTTCATAGACTTACACCATTTGTTTATTTTTGTAACAGGAGTTGATTTCAAAGTGAAGACTTTGACTGTTGATGGTAACAAGACAAAATTGGCCATTTGGGTAAGTTTATTATATATTTGTTTATGAACCAATGGATCAAGAACACTATCATATCATATATGAGCAATTACCAAAACGTGAGACTGTCTTGAGACTCAGTGGTTCCAAAATTTTTTTCTTACCATTTGGACTCCCTTTTCTGTCAGTCACAGATTGACATTTAGTGCTCATATTCCTAGAGTATCAGAGCAAGGAGATGTAGGGTTTTGGAGATATGGGTCTATTGTTTCGGCAACCACTGTATTTCTTGTATGTAACAATGATGACAAAAACAGATAAATAAGCAGCAAGGCAAATTATAGACTTTAAATTCCATTTGTTTAGTAAACAAAGACTTTGTACACTATGAACTCCATTCATAATGGTAATATGAATGACAAGCATTGTAACAATGATGCAGTTTACAGAACATGTCAACATTTTATGTACAAGAAAGGATACACATTGGACATTATCATTGACAACACATCACAATAGTGAAAGGCTGTACAAATACAGCAAAGCCTCAGCACCAGAAAAACACATGTGTAAAACAATTTTAAAACTAATATGAGGCAAAAGCACAACATCGATGGGGCTGACTTGTGCATCTTCTTCTTCTTCTCGATCGCATCACACTTGAAGTCCGGTATCTGTCATAAATTGGGCCGTCCTGGTCAGTTCATCTGGCGGCCTGTATAGCTTCTCTTGTAGCGTCAGTGGGGTTGGCCACGTTTCCTGTCTCAGGGCCCTGTGTGTCTTGCAGTGCTGAAGGATGTGTTCAACAGTTTGGTCCGCCTCTCCACACTGGCATTTTGGTGATTGTACTAGTTTAAAACATTTGTACATATGTTGTCTCAGTCTTGTGTGTTGTGTCCTTAGTCTGAAGATAATCACTTGTTCTTGGCGGGACAGCTCATGGTAGTCATCTGGTGTCTGAGGTGCTTTAAATAGTGTATTTATAATAGTTTTTATTTCTGTGTAGTTAACGCTGTTATCTGGTTGCTCCTTTTGTGCTCCTAGTTTGGCTATCCTGTCTGCCTGCTCATTTCCCAAGACACCACAGTGTGATGGAATCCACTACAGCATGATCCTCAGACATGGGATGTCCTCAATTTATTTTCGTAGCCTTGGTAGTTTGCCGGAAGTGATTGCCTGCAGTACTGACATGGCATCTGTTAGGAATACTTGACTTGTGCATAACAGTGATGACAAACATGACTTGTACATAACAATGATGACACAATGTACAGGAAAAGACAAAGTCATGCCTCCGGAGAGAAATGCACACTTTAAGAATTAAAAAAAAAACAGGAGAGGTTTCTTTTGCTTTGAAATAGATATCAGGTCATATCAAAGACAGTACACAATCACAATTACGTTGCTAATTATGACAAACAGTACTCGTACATAACAGTGATGACAAAACATACTGGGAAAAGGTAAAATCATGCCTACAAAGAACAAATTTGCACTATGAGATACGCAGATCAATAAAGGCGTATTTTTTTCTAAATGAATCTTGCATGTATGAAATATATGTTGAAAACTTATTGATAAAAGCAATTATGAAAAATATTACTTGTACATAACAATGATGACACAATGACACGATGTACTGGAAAAAGGCATATCATCCCAACAAAGAACAAATGTGTACCTTTGAGTTAGACAGATAAACAAGGACATGTTTGTCTATTTGTTTGAGTAAAGAGAGCACACATGACATAAAAAATGTTTGCTCTTAGGACAATGTAATTTCTAGTACGTCAGTCAGTCTTGTACGGCTGCATGATAACACCCCAAATGTCATCACTAAGCACAAAAGCTAAATCTATAACCACAGAAATGATCCATTTCTCGAAGTTTGTTCACACATCGCACACTTGTTCCAGTAATCCAATGTAAACACCGCAATTTCACTAAAATATTCAATAGGGTAGCCTAAAAACACGCAAAACAGTCCAGTACGTCACATTCAACGCAAGATTCTTGTGCGTAACCGGAGGCTGACGGCAATGACTACTTTCGTTTTTCTCTTTCCCCCGTTGCTTCCGCTGTTCTGGGGAAGCGGGTAAGGGGAAGTCATTCAAGAAAACAATTATATCCGGGCACTGTTGATGATCCGTTCAAAACAAAAGTAGGCTAAAATTCGGACTTCCGGTATGTCGCAAAGTGACGCCAATCACGGCGAATGTTAAACAGCTGACCGAAATCGTAGGTATAGGAACCTGATGTTCCTTTCACGCATCACAGCTTTTGAAGTATTGAATAAATGACGAAAAGCAAAAAGATTTAACCAGCTGTGGTGATTCTACTGAAAAATAATGGTGTTTTCTGAAACACCTAGTACGTGACGACACGACGCACAAGTGATCCGAATTATTCGTTTATTTGCAAACAAATAAACCGATTTCTTGAGCAAGTGAACCTTTCTCGATCACAAATAGCTTAGGATCAAAGCACAGGTTAAAAAAAGAACACTCAAAAATACTAAATGTTGGACATTCTTGGAAGTTTGCATTGGTGTGCTCAAAATGACAGTCCAGGAATCACAAAAAAACAAACATTTTTGGCACAAAATGTACAAACTCAAGATTGTAAAGCTGACACTGGGTCTGAAACTGCTAATGCAGGTTCTACATCCTATATTTAACATATGTATAAGTTTTGGAAGAATAAATATTAATGCATCACATTTTATGCACACTAATGTGAGATGTATGTGTTTTTCCCCACGTTTTGGCAATGGCTCATATAAACTTGGAAAAGTTTTCTGTCTTAAGCAGCGGCACTTGCATCATATCTGTTAAATGTTGTTAAAGAGGCAAATAATTGCCTACTAAATGCTTGTGCTTGTACTCTGTTTTATGAACTTACTACACATGCTCTAAATTGCAAATTAAAAAATGAAAGTAGCAATGCCAATAGTCCTTTGTGCATTAGGCTGGAAGTTGGGCTTCGTGCAAGGTGTAATTTTGGGGCCATTTGGGACCAGAGATAGCTCTCTTCTAAGTAAACTTACGTGAAAAATTGCGGACGAAATTGAATGAAACTTTGCAACCAACCTGCCAGAGGAAAAGCCAAAATTGCTATGCTAGTCCAATTTTGATAAGTTTCTAGAACTGAAGAAATTGCTGTGTTTGTGCATCTTTCTTTCGTTTTCCAAAAGTGTGGCTGCCAGTCTATCTACTTAAGTCGGGACAGATACCCCACAAGTTCCCTTTATTTTCCTGTAAAATTTCAGACCCCTTTGTGTAACTCAGTACATTTTACGTACCCAGCTTAATATTACCACCCGTCCAGGGATAGAAGACTTAGAGATGGGAACTTGGGTTACAAACTGAACAAGCTATCCTGCTGGCATGCGAAAGGCTGGTGATTGCTAGGCTTCATGTGTTTCGCTGCCTAAAACTATATAAATCGCCTGTGAGTTTTCCTTGTACTGCTTTGTTAAGTTGCAGAACGGGTGATTGGAGAACAGCAGTGAATCTTTTATGATCAAAGTTGTATCGTTTCTGTAACAGGTGGAGTAAATTCAACTAATTTCTTCCCAGGTTTGTTCAAAATTAAAACAGAGTAGTTTTTAAGCAAAGTTGTGTTGAAAATTTATGAAGTTTTGTAATGTCTTGCAAGCATGTGCCCTCCTATTGGTAGCAGTTCTAACAATATCGCGCAATTCAACAAATTTTCATGCAAATATTAGCCTTTAAGATCCAAAGTAAAGGCATTGAAAAAGGGATAACAGAACTAGATTCTGCTCTAAAAATCACATAAAGCCGCCAAGTTCCATTCATACTCCTATTTATTACTGTCCTTTAGAATACATCAAGAGGCATTGCACTTTTTGGCAATATTTTCCTTTATAAAGTCCCCCAAAATTTTGCAACAAAAAAACCCAACAAACTTTTAAATTTATCAATCGATTTTTAATATTTAAAAACCATAGTTCTTTTAATTTATCCCTCATTCATTTAAGCTCGTTTTAAAGCAGTTTGGATAAAATTTAATGTTTCGTTGACATTGCTAATGAAAAGTCACATTCACTGCTCCTCTTTCACTAATTTTTGCTATACTCCAGTCTCTGCCTTAGACCCCAGTGCTTGGGAGTAAGGAAAATGTGGGATCTTAAGTGAACAGGGTTTTACACAGGGATCATCTAGGGGAAGAATCCACAGTGACTTTTGGTCTGGCCAGCAGTAGGTAAAATGATCTCCCGTCACTTTGAAATGAACTAAAGGGACCTGTCGATGGACTTAAATGTTATGACAAGCAAAGAATGGTTAACCTTCTGATGACAAATCACAATGGTCCCTTCTGAAATTAAGTTGATGGGGCTTGCCATATTTACTTATCCAATCAGGAGTCTCAAAGTCTAGGTTGATTCCATCGCTCCTCTCCTTCACCAGTCCAAAGTTTACAGCTTTCCATTTCGGACGAAGTTCCGTGCTTATTTTCATTGCGCATCATTGTGTTGTAATGGCACAGGAAATTTGAAGAATGAAAGGCAGGCTCACAGCCAGCAGATGATCACATAAGGCAAAGGCGATTGGACAGTCACAGAGCAGGGTGCCAGTCTGTCTACTTAAATCGGCTGCAGAGCTGAAAAACAAGACCAATAGTGAAGAAAACTAAGGCACCGACGAGTTCACAGTATGATGTGATCCCATCTGATGTGGCCTTGTTGGCGGTGGATTCTTGGGTGGAGACTACTGGATTTGCATGCGAGTGATACAGTTGTTTTACTCATGACTTTGAATCTCTCACCCTCAGTTTAACCATTACTGATTTGTTCTCATGAACAGGACACAGCTGGGCAGGAAAGATTCCGGACTTTAACACCAAGTTATTACAGAGGTGCACAAGGTGTAATCTTAGGTGAGTCATGGTTTCTGCCATACTTGTATAATATTTGTCTTCATCTGGAACTGTAGGTCATCATAAGTCAAGAATACTCGACCATTTGTATAGTTTTGCTTTCTGAAAATATGTCCATTTACCTGGTTTTTGTGTAGTGCTGAACATTAGTTAAAGTGTTGTCAGATTTCCTTGTTGTTTTGTTTAATGGATCTGATCAAAATATGTTGGCGCCCAAAACTAGTGGATTGGTGTGGGGTAAATGAGAAGGTACTGTTTTGTCTGTTAATATCAGAAGTTGTGTGCTCTTCACTCGACGTCCATGCAGAAGTGATTGTGGGTCTACGGTCTCTCTAGTAATATGAAGAAGATGGAAATGTTATAAAATGCCTGAATGTTTCCAACATTCTAGTGTGTATGGGATTATTATTTTTAAAATGAAAAGGGATTTGTACTTTTACTTGTTTTGGCGTTGTTTCATTGTCAGTCGAGATGGAGTTGCTCTGTAATTGTGCTGCATGAAGTCTGAAGTTGAGCTGTTTGTATTTTCGTTAACACCTGTTCTTAACTGAAAAAAATTCCCCCCTGCTTATGTTCTTTTGTCTCTCCATGTCCCCCCAGTGTATGATGTCAGCAGCAAACAATCCTTCAGCAAACTTGATGCATGGTTGAATGAACTGGAAACATTCTCTACAAAACATGACATGATCAAGATGCTTGTCGGCAACAAGATTGACAGAGTAAGATGTCCGAGGGTTTTTACTTTTTTGTGTATGTGTGTGTGTTTCTTTATGAACTTCTTATCTTTGCCAACCTGTTCCCCCAGTGGCTCTCCGTCGGAACTGCTGTGCCAGTGAGCAATTTAGTGACGGAAGTCCCTTTTAGATTTCATACCAAAAGAGGGCCCTGGCATAGTGGGTTTTCCCCTTTCGGAGATAAAGAGTTAGGACATTTTTTGGGGGGTCTTAGTGAATTATTGTATTATCAGAGAAATTATAGTCGGTGATTTAAAAATTAAAAAAATCTTTTCTTCCTGGAGGGGGGGGGGGGGGGTTGTGTCTGGCTCACTCCCATCTTGTTTCATAGGATGGCTTTATTGTGATAATTTGCATTTCAGATTTGTAGTAGTAGAATGATGTGACCTTTATTTTTCAATATACACTTATATGTTTTTAGGCAGCTATAGCAAGTTTTATGCATGCAGACAAGAATATATTTTTGCTAAGATGAATGTGAAACTTTTAATTTGATTTTTAGATGAACTGAACTGTTCTGAGAAATTACTCTAGTTGACATTTCGTTGTCATTCTTTCTCCTATAGAATTAATTTTACTTTTGATTTGGTGTTGTCTTTGATGTTTATTGTTAAGAACAAGAATTTTGTTGTGTGTGGTGTTCTTTGTCTCATGTGACGTCTTGTAAAACTCTTCTTTTGAAAACACAATCACACCATATTGTTAGTTTATTTTTTGGTCAGTGTAATTTTATATCAACCATGTTTCTCCTCTTCAAGTCAGTTAATATTCTCCTAATTACTATGCTGGTTGATTACTGGACTTACTTCATACCATGACATTAGCTAATCAGACATTGTTTTTCCTATTTTGTAATGTGTTATCAACATTTTATCTCTATCCTCATGTAAACTTTGATCCTTCCTTGTTACGTTGTTCTGTGTTCTTGACCCATTTCCTAATCTGATGTTCTGATTTGACTAGCCAAGATATTGAGGCATTCTTTCTTTGTTTTAGGCGTGAAAGACATTCTTGGAGGTTTTTTTTTTTTCTAAAAATTTGTACCCCGAGATGTATAACTTTCCTTTTCATAAAAATTTCCATTACCTTTGAAATGAGTAATAAATCTATCTTTTGCACAGAAGTCGTTAGTAAAAGTTCTGTACTAGTGAAAACACATTTGTTAAAAAATTCATCAGGCAACACCTGAGTTGGAGCTTTGGCAGGCTCAAAAGTAAACTTGAAAGTGGTGGAAAATGCTCTGATGAACTCACAGAAATACTCTGCAGCTATATAATGTTTCAAACTTATTGATGACATAACTCAAGAGGTGATGAGGATAATAGGGAACCGTTGTCATAAGAAATGAGCTAGATTTAATTCTGCTATATATTCAAGATTAGATAAATCTGTCATCAAGATGGGCGTTTTGGCAGGCTTATATTATGTGGAGTCCAGAATTAGTTGAGAAATCTCTAGATCTAATTAATTTTGCAAAATAAAAAAGTAAAAACAAACTCAATTGCAACAGTGGTACCGTAGCTGTAAAGAATAGTTTAAATCTACTTGTACTTTTCTTTATTTTAGTAGAGGTTTTACGGCGCTCTGAACTGCATAAGGTCATATTAGCCTCAAGGGATGGATGTCAACAGAGAAGTCCTTACAGGGAATCAGACTTACTCTGCTCACCTCTCTAGCTTCAACAGCACTAAGTCTGTTTCGTCCATCAAGGCACCCCGGAAATAGGGGGTCACAAGAGTGTGACTAACATACAGAAGAAGTAGAGGAAAATGACGATAGTAAGGATTAGGAAAGAAAATGCTTGAGTTCTCTGTTGCAGTTCAGGCACAGTTGTGAGCATGACATTGATGAGTCAGCCCATGTACAATTACAATTTTACTTTGCATAAGAACTCGAGATTTTAATGTCCCCCCCTTTGGGAAAGGCCTAAAGACACTTCAGTCAGTAGCACCGCCCCAGGGGGTAACATGTACTATTTATCTTATTAAATTGAAATATATGATGATGAATACTGAAAGCGTGTTTAAATGAGTTTTATCTTATAACTCACAGAGAGATTGGGTTGGACTGAAAAAAAATTGAAATAACACAGTCGTTTTACTTTTCTATTCAATCTAAAAATGTATTTTTGTGCTGAAATGAATAGATCAGCTGAATTGGAGTGCTGAACTTATTGTGCCAGCTGTAGCAGTAAACAATTTGATGTACAAAGTGTTGTTCACCTCCCATTTCAGAATGTCTTAGTCTTTTTCATGACTACTACACTTCGGGTTAAGGTCAACAGATGGGAAAATGATTAAGATCTAAGAATAGAATTGGGGCTTCTGGTGAGATGTAATCGTACTCCTTAGGAGTATAAATTCCTTTTTACTATGGCTAATCTTGTAAGACTTGCTTCGTTGGTTGCTTTGGTGTGGTTTGCTCCTTCTTTCTTATCAAACATCTATCAACTTTATCTCTCTCTTTTTGTTTTTTTGTTATTCTTTTGTAACGTCTCTAATCTAATCTTTGGTTGCAAGTACCTAAGACTCATATTAAAACAACTGGAAAACTCTCTTTAAGCTTCATGTTGTGAATGAGCTTTTTTCTTCTTCACTCTGTAACATGCACACCGGTTCAGGGTGTTTACTTCTTTACTTATTTCTTTTACCGAAAGTGATGTATGAGTTTATTTCAAAAGAGCACTTTTTCTTCTTCTTCAGGATTCACATGAAGTCACTAAGGAAGAAGGTCTGAAGTTTGCCCGCAAACACCACATGCTCTTCATTGAGGCCAGTGCGAAAACAAATGATGGTGTCCAGTGTGCTTTTGAGGAACTGGTGGAAAAGGTAAAATAGATTAATGTTCTTTGCTGGCACTGCTGAATTGTATATTCTATTCTTGTCTTGAGCACTGCATTATTAATTTTTTTTTCTTCGCTTCTCTAACTTGCTTTGAACTTGTTAACATGATCTCTAACATGTGTACTCTTGCTCTGTTTTTTGTTGATTTTTCCTGAATCATGTTTCCATAATGCATCATTTGTAGAAGCTTGCTTCCGTAGCAAGTTAACATTGTTAAACGCAGTTTTCTTTCCTATTTATATTGATATAAAACATACATTCCTTTGATTAATATTTTGAGCCCTAGCTTCTGGAACAGCGGGGACCTGTAAAATTGCCCATATGCCTAACCACCAGTACACTTGACAAATAAGCGCACCGAAAACAGTGTTTACTACAAATTACATTATTGATTATTTTGAGGATCTTTTTGAATTAGATGTAGGCAATGGCGAGGACTACCCTGAGTGGTAGATGGAATGGGATACTGATTATGATATGAATGTAAGTAATATAAATGTGAATCACTCAGGAGCTCAGGCAGAGGGGCACAGGAGCCTCAGGAGGTCAGGGCTCAAAGGGTTAAGGAAATTAAGATATTTTTCCTGTTATATTTTCACTTCCCAAACTTATATCTTTGTGAATTTGGCTGGAGTGCCATATTTGTCTCTTCACAACACAAAAACTAATTCTGCTAGCTGCTTATTGTTTTCTAGAATGCAACTCAGCAACACTTTAGACAAACCCAATTATTTTTCATCAGTCTCTGAGAATGTCAATATTATTAGTACAAAATATGCTTTTCATTCAAAATGATGAATTCTCATCACAAACTTGCAGTCAGGATTGTCATGAACATTGCTCTTGGGCGTGCCTTCCTCTCTCCGCCAGAGTCATGGTCAAATGGGTAGTCATATTTTGTCGAGGGCTCGCATTTTGGGGAAATAATTGCCCCTGGTTTGGTTTTAGTGCAAAATCAGTGACCTCACCCCCCTGCCAGCCAGTCTGGACTACTCAGAGCGTATAGGGCCTACTTGTATGGGATAGAGCACTATGTCAATACAATCTATTAGTGGTAGTAGCAGTCTATTAGTGGTAGTAGTAGTAGTGGTAATAACATGAAGGAAAGATGTCGTTCTGTTTGACTAAGAATTTGTCTTACTCAAATTAAATTTTTACGACTAAGTTTTTTTTTTTATTGCATCTTTTTGTGGTAGAAAAATGCTTACCATTTTTTTCACTTTTTTTCAAGTTTTGTAAGAGTTTAATTCTCTGCAAGACACCAACAGGTTTTGAAGGTGAAACACGTGACCAAGCGGTAAGAGTAAACAAGAAGAAAAGAAAAAAAGGCAAAGAGAAGGTACACCAAAGAAAATTTCACACATGATACCCCTGAGCCCAGATGTTCATGTGTTCTATTCCACTTTAAGAAGATCGGCAGCTCCTATTGGTGGGCCGTAATATCAGTGTTGATGTTAATACGTGTTCCTTTCTTCACCCCTATTCCCCCCTTTTTGCAGTACATTCTTACGAAATGGTTTGGATATTTTCTAGGTAGAGAGCTTTCTTCTTTCAAAGAAAAAGTTGTTTTATTATATTGTTCTGCTTGAAAGCCTTGTTAGCATACTTCTATTGGTTTTTTAATACCATAGTGATGCAACTATATAAAATTTATAATACACACTGAGGTTGTGCCAAGGAGTTGAGTAATAATGGCGTCTATTGTGTAGCGGATAAGAACTTTGTCATTGCTTGCAGAATATCTGAGTTTAATTCCCTAATGGGGATAATTTTTATCGAGTATTTCTGTCTTTGTGCTGGGACATTGTATCCCTCTCTGCCCAGGTTGGTTCTGACGGGCAGGGTCGAAGGCTGCCTCCTAAATGATCTAAATTGTGTTGATGGGAGTGTAAAAATACATAAGATTTTAAAAAAAAAGGAGTTGAGTAGCTTTTTTGAGTGATGTAGATTCATCGTGTGTTTGCTTTAGTACTTCTGTGGTTGACGGCAAATATCCATATTCTCTTTCAGTGAAGTTATCCTACTTGTCTCTCCATAATAAATACTCTGAAATACAGACCAACTAACCCCTGTAAATTTGTGTTTAACTCTGTGCAGAGGTGTGGCTGATATAGCAGCAAAAGTCCACACACCTTGCGGACGTATTGCTGATATATCGGCAATGATGGGGTACCTCAGTATTATTTCGTTTTAACATGATCCATCATTTATAAGGACTTCTTGCTGCTTGAAAACTGGGAAAGGATTTTGGAAAAGAAAGCATCTAGTTTCACTTTTCCAAAGCGTCAGTTTGGCAATAAATGAGGGAACTCAATTCTTGCGATTTTGCATCTACGTAAGGATGTATCTGGACTCAGTAGAAATACCATAACTCAAACAAAAATTGGAATATTGCTTTCAAATAAAAAGAATTGCTGTTAGAAATGTGTGAATTATGCTCGTATTGCTTTAAGAAATGTGTGGTTCATGCTCATGGCTGTGTCTGATGAGATAGCTTTGCTGATTTGATTTCATATGTTTGGTGAGTGAATTTTTTCCCCGTCAAAATTTGTTTTTCCTCATCACCATCACCCATTCTAATCCTTGTTATTCATGCTTGTGTCCAAAATTAATCCCTCGTTCAATTTTCTTCCATTTGATATATCTTATGTTATGTTTTGAGTGATGGCTATGCTTGTAGAAATTATTTTGCACGTAATCTGTATATCGAGTCAGAAATTAATTACGTCTAGACAGAAAAAAACCTTGTCTGGAAAGAGTTAAACTGATGGGGCTTACATAATTTTAGGTCGATGTGATTTGTTGGATCTAGATTCCATGTGATATGTTGAGACTTTCATTTGATTTACTTCCCTACAATTGGCAATTGTGTAGGTATTTAACTCACTGACTACTGGCCCCTTTCACAAATCACTAGCGCTGAGTACTGGCATTTTTGGGGTATTTCAAAACACCACCACAACTTCCAGAATTACCCTATTGTAATTATTTTTTGACACAGTAAAGTAACTTTCAAACTTAATCTATTGCAAAAAAATTAAGTTCTCTAGGTCTAATACTTTCTTTCTTCTTCTTCTCGATCGCATCACACTTGAAGTCCGGTATCTGTCATAAATTGGGCCGTCCTAGTCAGTTCATCTGGCGGCCCGTATAGCTTCTCTTGTAGCGTCAGTGGGGTTGGCCACGTTTCCTGTCTCAGGGCCCTGTGTGTCTTGCAGTGCTGAAGGATGTGTTCAACAGTTTGGTCCGCCTCTCCACACTGGCATTTTGGTGATTGTACTAGTTTAAAACATTTGTACATATGCTGTCTCAGTCTTGTGTGTTGTGTCCTTAGTCTGAAGATAATCACTTGTTCTTGGCGGGACAGCTCATGGTAGCCATCTGGTGTCTGAGGTGCTTTAAATAGTGTATTTATAATAGTTTTTATTTCTGTGTAGTTAACGCTGTTGTCTGGTTGCTCTTTTTGTGCTCCTAGTTTGGCCATCTTGTCTGCCTGCTCATTTCCCAAGACACCACAGTGTGATGGAATCCACTGCAGCATGATCCTCAGACATGGGATGTCCTCAATTTATATTCGTAGCCTTGGTAGTTTGCCGGAAGTGATTGCCTGCAGTACTGACATGGCATCTGTTAGGAATACTACTTGGCTTTGGGGGTCTACCACATTCTTGATGATGTTTGCTGCATGTACTAGAGCCTCCGTTTCTGCCCTGTAGTTTGTACAATGTCGCCCTGTTGGGACTAGAGTGATCTTGGCACTTTTATTTCCTTCGTCGTTTAGCCCCTTTACAAGCCTCCATAGTTTTGTGGTGTCCTTTTCCAGGTTAAGTTTGTGCGTTTTGTCTCTCCAGCTTTTCCTGGTGCGCACCAATTTGGTTTTGAGATAGTGGGCTTTACACCTCTGTAGCTTGTTATTGTTTTCTATCCCTGGATGTATTTCGGCTTCTTCTCTGGCCTTGATGAGGTCGTTATGTGTTTTCTGGAGTTCTGGCGTCCAGTATGGGGTGTAATTTTTCCTTACCCCTCTAGGTATGGTTTCTTTTGCTGACTTAAGGATGTTTTCATTGAACTCTGTGATGGCATTGTTTATGTTTTTGTCGAAGACTGCGATGTTCTTTGTCAGCTCGTTAGTTCTTATGCTGAATAGTCTCCAGTCTGCCTTTTTGTAGTTCCATCTCGGCCTTTTCGGGCTGTCCTCTGGCAGGCTCTCTACTATGGTAAGAAGAACAGGGCGATGGTCACTTCCCCCGAGCTGGGTTTCCACTTTTCTGCTTAGATGTCTGTGCAGGTTTTCTGTGCAGAGTGCTAGGTCTGGAGTCGTAGTTGAATGCCAAGCTCGAGAATAAAATGTGGGTTGATCTAAAGGATCATTTACAAGCAGAAGATGGTTTTCATCTTGCCAAGCCTCTATTTCTTCTCCTCTTCTGTCTAGTCTGTTGTAACCCCAACTCTGGGACTGGCTGTTGAAATCTCCAGCGATGATAAAGTCTGTGTCTGGGACTTCGATGGTTTCTAGCACAAGGTTTTTATCGTTTGGACAATAATAGTTCACTAGATCCAGATTGCCTCTGCTGGTGGTGATCCTGTTGTGGATATATTCAGCTTCTCCTGTATATTTCTTGATTTCAACGGTATTTAGGTTATTTCTTACCAGGGTCAATACTCCTCCTTTTTTTTCTACCTTGGCGATCGTTTCTGATGCACTGATATCCTCTTACCTTAATGCTTGCCTCCTCCTGCAGATGTGTTTCCTGTATACAGCTGATGTGTATTTCATTATCTTTTAGAAAGTTTTCCAGCTCTGTTTTCTTGTTTGAGATTCCTTCAGCATTCCAGTGCATGATATTAAGACTTTTCTTTACCTGTTTTGTGTTTGTGTTACCAGTCGCTTTTCTTCCTCGTCTCCTGGCACTCCAAGACGATGGAAGGCCCTCCAGTCGCTGGGGTGGACCCCTTCGAGGCTTGGGGCCCGGCACTGCACCTGCCTGGTGTGTCCTCACAGGGCGAGCACCATATCTAACGTTACCTTCTTCAAGTGTCATATATTGCAGTATTACGTGGTATTGTGGTTCTCTAGAGTGCGCCTTGCGGCCCAATACCTCCGATTTCAGCACTCCAGCTCCAGGTCCAAGGACCTACCCTGGGAGCACAGGGAGGAATTGTTACCGGATCCCACCCGTAGCCAGGACTTAATGCGGTCCTTTTCCGCATGATGCTCCCGTCAGAGGACTCCTAGGGCATTTAATGACGTGGTAGTGCCACCTACCACCTCACCCCGTCCTGGTAAGAGCATCGCCAGTTGGTCCGGGGCTGCTTATTCAACATATTCACAGCTAACCTCCATTACAGTGGCCGTTCCCTATCCGCCACCTGGGACCCGCCGGGTCGGGGATGGTCGCCCCACCCCGGGTCTAATACTTTAATTCTTATGATTGTTTCAAAATTGGAATGAATTTGATTTTTCGAAAAGTTTCCAGAGACATGACAGACAGAATGAAATTCACAACAACAACAAAAATATAAGTTCAAAGTGTTCTGTTTTGATTTGTATCCATGTGTGAGTGTTTGGTGAAAATATAACAGCTAGTCTGTGCGTTTATTCAGACCCATACACTGAATTACATGAGACAGATGTAGGGAACGAAGTTGTGATTTCGTCGCGCGAACACCACCAGTACTAGTGCTAGATCTAGCCCTAAAACTACGACTCGGGCCGTGTTCGGGTACATATCTAGGGTCCTAACTATCAGACACATCATATCTTGAGTCACTAGAACTAGCAAAACATACAGAAGTATCGAAAACAGCGAAATTATGTGATTCTTGTTCTTGCGACCGTTACTTCAACGCGACTGTCGGATTAATATCATTTGTTTGGAGAAAAAACATAGCGAGAGTTCCGGTCAGGTCAACCCCAGATGAGGTGACTGTCCTTCACCTTCAATTGCTTAAAAATTTACCACGAAACTTCCGCCAAACTCGGCACGAAACGAAACAAGAGGCAAAACTAACACTGGAGTCCGTTTCCGTTCATGTGACGTGAGCACTAGATACGGAACAAAATCGCAAAGTCCATCCGGTTGGGGGTACGGGATCCGTACCTGCGAACCGCCCGACCGCCCCGTACCCGTGACGGGATCCGTAGTCAGTGAGTTAATTATTATAATCTAGGTACTACTCAGCTAAGAGGCAAACACAAGGCAAACTATATATGTGGATTATATACAGGCATTGAGTTGCAACGTATATGCCTTGCAGGTTCAGAGGGAAGGGGTGTTTGGTTATTTGGGTGTGGTAGGCTAAATAAGCTTACCCAGAGGTGGTGACCTAATTTGGGCTACGTATGACCCAATTAAAGGGAGTGCTTCTTTGGGCTACATATGGTCGCTTTTAAGCACAGGGGGCTATCCTGGAAAATGCTGTTTTGAGAAAATCAGAGGTAAAGTTTTTGCCCCTTATTCAGTTTCTTTAAAAGACGAGAGTTTTCTCTATATCCAAACAAATATACTCACCAATGAAACCAAACTTCTCCTATAGGTAGGGCAATGCCCACTTTTGGTGTAGGTCAAGATTTCCGGAAACCTCCGAAATCTGGGTTAGCCCGCCTGTCCTTAAAAGTGACTGTATAGCCCAAAAGAGTCACCCTATTTCTACCTTGCTTTCTTTTCAGCGCACTTGATGACTCACACTCATAAAATACTCTTGTTGATTTTTCTCCTGTGTAATATTGTTCCAGGTCATCCAAACCCCAGGACTGTGGGAAACCAGTGGCAAGAACCTCAGACTAGGACAAAATGGCAATGATGGCAACGCGGCACAGAGCTGCTACTGTGTCATATGATCAGGTGATGATGATGTCCTGACTTCCCTGGCAATGTCTTGCTGCTTGAAAGTATCGTATACGAGTCTTTCACTTGTAAGGTGGATTTTATGGAATGACAACTGATGATGCATGTGTGAGAGAGAACTATGGAAAAGTTCAAAACCAGTGATTTCTGTGACCTGGGCCAATGATTTAAACTTTGGCCCCTCCCTTTCTTTTTCTTTAAGGAGAGTGTTATTGTCTGCTGTGTGTATTCTTTGTACTCAGATCGATGAAAATTTTTAAATAGGTCTATTTCATGTCCATTAAGGGAATTGATAGATACAAGTTCAGCTCTGTAAAAATGTGGTATGAGTTCTTTCAGTGTATGATCACTTTGTATTGATACAAATTTTATGTGTTTGTATTTGGTAATTGCCAGAAGTTAAACATTTCTTTGACTTACATGTAAAGTATATATTTTAGTTTCTATGTGAAAAAGTCTCTTTTGTTGCCTTTACCACATCTACATACATACACTTGTAGCCAAATGTTACAGACTATTCACTCTTTTTGGCTTTTAAAAATCATATCAGATAAAGGGATCATATGTAACAATATATTGATAGTACAGGACCCCTGTTGGAGTTTGTTTTATAGCTTTTAGCTAGCTGATTACTTTGTGCCCTGCATTGTGTACATTTTGTCATCTAGATGATCTATATGTAATGTACTCTGATTTATGCATGAGTTAGTAGTAGTCTGCATCCTAGTTTTGCTCATTGTGATTATAAAAGAAGTGTGAACAAGTTTTTCTTTCATTTCATATTTCAATTATTTTGCATCCTTTAACTAAAGCTTTTCATGTAGTTGCTCTGTGGCTCTGTGGCGCAGCCATCCGTTATGCAATGTTGACTCAGGGCTGATGAGGTGAGGGTTGGTATGGTGTGGAATTAGGTGTGCAATATTTCTGTGATCCTTGGTTTACCGAGAAACTCAAGGTAACTTGCAGTACAGGCAAGGATACATCACTTGAAGAACTGGAATTTGGCACCTGCAGATCTGGATTTTATTTTCTTTCTTTCAACAGTTCATTTTTCTTTATAATGTACTAACAGTTTTAATTTTGTGCAGGTATTTTGTATGTGTATTTGACATTCTTTTTTTGTTTTGCATTAAAGTGTGCGCTTATGCATCAGCTTATGTCATTCTGTTAATGCATGTTTTTTCCTTGTTGGTCTCCTGAATAATATTCAGGATGTATTACAGAAATTTATGTAGTTTGATAAACTCTTTCCCATAGGTTTCCAGCAGTTAGGGGGACAATTATATTATACTTCTTTGTCTTTGTCGCGTTTGAAAGTTCTCCACATCCAAGTTTAGGCTAAGAGTTATTGTAGTGATGATGGAACAGTGTCTGGTGTTTCAAGCTGTCTCGCCTTTTTTTTGTGTGTGTTCTATTTTATCTTCCAAATCGATTCTTGTTCTCATGAGAAAATGATACGTTCAATAATAATAGTGCTTTTTGCTTTTTCTGTACCGGAAACCTCTATGGCACGACTGAAATTATACTTCAGAGTAGACCTTTGTGTATGAACAAGGTGTTCCAATGTCCAAAATCACAGTTTTGAAATCTGTACCTGCTTCAGAAACATTTTCGTCTGTTAGCGTTCTTGAATATTGTCAGTGTAATGAGTATACTAACAAGGACCTTAAAATCTTTGAAAATTCAGTTGTAATCTTAAGCAGTTTTTAAAGCGATACAAGTTTTGACACCGACAGTTATGAGAACAGAATTTGAACAGAATCTGTCTTGAAGTATAGTATGGTCTTTCTAGGTCACCCAGCTTCATGTTTAAAAAATTGTCTTTGTAGCATTGATGGTCAGCTTTTTTTTACAGTTTTGATAATTGGGAGTGTTCTGGCTTTGGATGTGAGCATACCGTAATTTTTATTCTCAAACAGCTTTTCTGTCTCATGTACTTTATTGTTACCTCTAGTAAAATCATTGTAAAGTGAAGCAAAGCTGAATAATAATTTCTTGGGTCCTTGTGATCTGTGTCATGTTTATTGTTGTTTGCATATTATTTTCTGGTAGCCTAAACTGAAATACTTTTTCTATTTAATCATATACTCGTTCTCTCGTATTGAGTGTCGGGACTGACAGAAGCAAGGTTGTGAACTTATGTGGTGATGGTTCAGAATCTCTGAGGTGAGATATTGTGGCTTAAGAGCATAATCTTGCCTTTGAAACCATGTTAATTCCCATAAAAGCTTTAGCAAACGCCTCTTGATTCTTATTTTTTTTTTCGTACTGGATACCTTGGGAGTGTCTGTGAGTGTGTATAGAGCCATTTAGATTCCTGTTGTTTGAAATGTTGCTAGCTGTCTTGAGAATGCAATGATATTCAACTTTCTTTTATTGTGCGCTTGTGAAGGATGCTCTTCCTTTTTTATGATTTTTTTTCAGTGGTTGAAGTTGAGAATAGCCTAAAAGAAGTAAGAGCTGTAAATACGCTTTCAACCTTCTTTTTTGAGGGGAAGGGGAGATTATTAGGCTGCCTTTATAAAGGAAACTGTGTTAATTGGTATCGAATTTTACTACTCGCCGGTCTCCTGCTGATCAAAGGATAGGAATTTTTAATTTGCGTTGTATTTAAATGGTTTTGGTACATTTTTTCAACTTTGTTCATTCCTTTTGTAAAAATTAAAATCATTTATACTTTATGAGAGAAGCTGAGTAGGAACTTCCTCAAGAATGTAATTACTTTTTTTTCTGGACGTTTTATTCATCTCTAAGAAAGTGATTATCTCAAGTGTGATTCTCTCCACCTCTCTGTGGCTATGCGCCTGCAGTTCTGGTTTCCCAGCTTAAGCTTCCTGTAGGCCTTTCTGTCACTCCTTAGCTGGTTTTTCCCTTTTGAGTTTATCCCCGTTTCTTTCATTGAGCAGCCTGTCACCATTATTCCCATTCATGGTTAAGGTGTAATTCTAAATGTGATAACTCTAGCATTGTTCTTCCTCTTCTAAAGCGAGGTCTGAAAGAGACATTTGCAGAAGTTATGTTGTCCCTTCATTCGTTTGGCAAGCCTTTTAACATGGACGACTAACTTATTTCTGAGCTGTATGCATATTTGGTCTTCTAAACTGTTTCAGTCTTTGTCTCTCTCTGTGCTTCTGTGCTTCTGTGCTATTTATGTAGTGGAAATGTTTCCTGTTTCTCATTGTCTTAAAGAGGGATTTTTTTGTCCGGCATTTACAGCTGTGCAAACGAGTTGACCAAAAGAGTTTTCATGTGGTTACAATGTACCGATTGCTCTTGGGAATTTTTGCATTGGTTTCCCCTTTGCTTTTCTCTGGTTTTATGTACATTTTATTGTACTAGCCTTTCACGATTCTACTTACAAACTTTAAAGTGAAAGTTTTTATGTTCGTATAAGACTCGGATTTGCAAGTAGGAATGAAAAATCTAATAGGTAATTGGCGCAAGTTTTATTTTTCTATTATTTTCTGGTGGACTACTCTACCTTTTTATATTTTAAGAGAATGGCATATATTTTTGGGTAAAATGTTTTGAAAACTATCAAGGAAAGAAATTTTCTCTTAAAAACCGAGAATGCCACCCAGCAATCAGATGGTGCTTTGTTTTTCATAATTTCCTGCCTTGCATTTTTATGTGTGTCATTGTTAAGATTTCATTGGATGCTGCGGTCACTGTGCAAACTGCATAGGAATGACAGGATAAGTTTGTGTTATGCGATGAAAAGTGTGTCAGTGTACATTGTACATGTAAATAATAAACGCTCCATAACATCAGTGCCGTTGACTCGTGTCCTTATTTCAAATTGAGTCGTTTTCTGTGATGACATCAGTGTTGGCGAAGATCTGATACTACATCAAGATAGTTCACTCCTCAAAGAGCTGTTAAAAAAGAAAAGCATCCTCAAAATCGCCTATGGTTCCACCTGAGAAAAAGCTCTAACGTGGTGAACTGGAAGGATAGGAAATATAGCAGGTTAACATTGTAGCTGTTCTACGTCGCATTGTGGTTTCATGCACTAAAAATTGTATGGTTGAGTAATATTTTGTACTTTACATAAAAATGTAGCAACAAATGAAGCAGTTGTGGGCCTGATAAAATTATTTATAGTAAATGTATTGTTAGATCTCGATTGATTGATGTCACTGCTCTTTCTCAAGATTTCACAATGTGACAGAAGACTTGATGTGATCACACTCAGCAATCAGATGGTGCTTTGTTTTTCATAATTTCATTCAACAATAGAGGATCAGAGGCTTTCCAGACTCTGCAGCTGTCAAGCGATTAGATCTAACCTATTACAAACTATGTTTGTGGCGTTGGTGGTTTAGTGGTAAGGCTCTTGGGCTCGCAACAATAAGGTCAAGGAGTAAGAATCGTGTCGAGGCCCAACGTTGTGTCCTTGGGAAAGGCACTTTACACTAATTTTCTTCCTTTCACCCAGGTGGAAATGGGTATGCGCCTATAGACAGTGAAAGATCTTGTCACTTTGTTAGTGTTTGAGTTTGAGCTTGTGAAATCCGTGGCTTGCACTGTATTTAAAAAACATATATTTTTTAGTAGAGGTTATACGGCGCTCGCAGCTGCATAAGGTTATTTGAGCGCCAGGAGATTACAGGTTTTACAACAAGAAAGTAACAAACATAAAAAAAGAAGAAGGGGAGATAAGGACGATAAATGTTTTACAGGAAAGAAGAAGCTGACGACACCAGAGTTCCTGCCAACCACCCACTTGCACTGTATGCTTCCTTGGAAGCTTATAGTGTTTCTGAGTGTTCTAGGATCTGCTAGGGCAATAATGGTTGTGCGGGGCATTGAGCATGCTGTAGAGCGTAGACATGAGCAATATCAATCCAAATGCTATTACTAGTATTAATACCTTCACATATTACATGGGGACTTGTGAGTACAAAGTGTCTGTAGCAATCATGCAGTTCACAAAAAAAGCTATGTACCAAGACAAGGATCTGCTGAAATTGTTGACTTATGTTGCGCTCGGTCTTTTGTGGGGGAGTTGTTTTTGACGTTTAGCTTTGAGTTTGAAAGGCCCTAATGCTGTAATTGATAAGAACTCGGTTGAGCAAACAGTTTGTCGGCTACTAACCTATTATCGAGCCCAGTGCCAAATTGTTGTATGCAAAATTGCAAGGGGCAGTAATCGTTGCCTTTTTTTTTAGTAAGTTGACTCCCATCGAAAGTTGTATTGATTGATTTCGAGACCCGAGTTGGAGGCTGGTACACTGCTTAAAATTGGACGTGACTTTTGTAATTTTATATGGTCAGCCAGCTGTTAACCCTATCCGTACACCCTGGGGTCATTTTGTACCCCCGAGGTTGTATTCTTCACATTTTAGAATACTTCTAGTACGAAGATCTCCTTGAAACTTTCAGTATTTCTTTTCAAAAATCATTTTGACACACTGCTATGCAAAGCATACAGATCGGATTAACTTCATAGCTGCCACTTTCTCGCTAAATAGCGGAAACTCCGCTTCATCTAGCTTTTCCCGCTACTTGTGATACTTTTTTTTTTAACCCGCGGAAAACACAAAACTGGGAGAGAGACGAAAACGCAGCTTGTGCATGACGCATGTCCGCCCGTAGCTTTCTACTTCCGTTCTTCTAGGCCTAGCGCTAGTTTCACTTTATTTATTGTGGAGCAACAAAGTGTCGATCGGGCATCGGGACGTTGGCGCGCGAGTTGTCATTGAAAACGGCGGAAATTCGAGAGAAATTGATGCAGAATGCAAAAATAAAAGGAGCTGGAATGAGAAAAAAGCAGCCGGTGTGCAACTTGAAAAGTTCATTAGTAAATTGAACAAGCCGCTTGCTGCACTTTGCGTTTGGTGGGATAAAAAAATCGCGGCCCGCGGCACTCCTGTACAATTGCGGTCCCGTTTGTTTACATGCCGGCTACTGTGGCTGTTGAAGTGAATCTAGATCTAGATAATCTATCTCTAGATGTAATCTAGATTTACACATATTTAGATATCTAGATCTAGATTAGATAGCCTAGGCAGCGGCAAAGGTGTTGCCTCCTTGATCCAATAGCCTACTGCGCGCACTCTACATCGATGTACAAGTTTAAAGTGAAAGAAATCTTTTTATAAGACACAAGCTGGCAACAAACACTGGATATTTAGTCACCAATTCCAAACTGTGTCAAATTGACTCAAATGCTTGTTTGTCAACTTAGTGCCTTTGGGTTGTTTTTTTGTTGTTGTCTGTGGCAGCCTAGCAGTTGGGCCCTATCGCACGCAGGAGATTCGAATGCAATTTCCGAGCGGGGAGAATTGTATCTAGTATATTATATTGGTCTTTCTGTCAGCTGAAATATTGTATCCCTCTCAACCTGTGTGGCTGTGTGGCCCATGACAGGCAAGGCCCGCCTCCTAAATTATGATCTAAACTGTGTAAGGGGGGGGGGGGCGTAAAAATACTTACATTGAAAAAAAAATTAAGAGGCCAGTCTTCCTGGGAATCCATAGGCACGGAAACTGAACTGCACCGAGACATGGACATGACAGTACAGATCGCTGAAACAGAAATGTCACTGTCTGAATTCATTAGTACGGAACGGCAGCGAGACGGCACCGACAGTTCTGCGGTACCGCAGCGGCAGTTTTTATATCAGACACAAGAGCATGTTAAGGGCTGGTGGGGCACCTAGAAATCATGTTTGGGGGTCAAATTTTGTAAATTGGGTTTATTACATATTATAGTACCTGGACACTTCCTGAACAATATCCATAACAATAATGATGAGCAATTTTAAGAAAGGGAAGCATATTTTTAGGTAGATTCAATAATCTTCTTTATTTCCAAACAAGTTAGAAAATACATTACATCTATACATGTGTATCATGATAAAAATACATATCCGTACCGGTGAATGTGACAGCAGTCACACAAACATTGACATGTAAGGGTTAAGAGTAGCAATTTACAATATTTAATTTAGCCATTTCAGAATTATTTCACACGTGACATACATGTTTTCATTTTATGGACATATTCAAACATATGCTATCAGATTTAATCACAAAATTGGAAAAATTGAAAGCGATTGATACATGTAATGTGGATGACAAACAAATTATGACAACTTTGTTGTTCCTTTACTCAGCATCGCTGTGTAAGGGTTGGAGGAAATACACTTTGGTAGACATTAATTAATACATGTAATAAGTTCAGTAAGCCTTTGCGTATTCTTTATAAATCGGACAAATCTAACGACCAAATTATGTTAGTTTCGAATTTTGTAGACAAACTTTCACATATCTATTATAACAAGTGTAAAAGAAAATAGCTCATTTAGCAATCTGTGGATCGTAGGCCTCTACTACATTTATGACTATCATGTTAGCTGTGTTACATTCTTTGGATCAAGTTTATGGTACTGAGAACGTCTCGGTTATCGCCTTTGTTAAAGCCAAAGTATGGTGGAGAGTGACACACAGAATTGTATGATGATACCAACTGTTGTAGGGAAAAAAAATAGACTAACAGACTTTAGGTCCATACAAAATCTGGTATATATTTTTGGGGAAAATGCGTTATCGGTATAGTCTATCTAAAATAGCTGACAGAAGAGAATATTATTATTTGTCAAACAGAACCCACCTTCGCCTCACTGATTGCATTGTTGATGGGTTATCTCGGTGCCACACGAGTTTTATTTTCCAACAAACACACTTTAATCGTTCTGAAAGAATCGGGGAATGTATCCGACCCCCCTGCGCCTTTTACACAACACACACACACAAACTTGCGTCCATAGCCGCATGAAAGTTTAATGGTTGAATTATATGAAGATGAAGCATTGAGCACATGGGGATAGTTACATTGTAGAATTGAAAGACTCTGTAATTTTAAAGGGTACATGACCAGACTAATTACAACTCTTCCTTGTCTTCATTTGAAGTTTTATCCCCCTGGTATAGTTTACTCACTATCGGATGAATCAACTTTTGCAGTTCATCTTTCTTTTCAGTAATTTCCTCACTACTTGCTAGGCTATTGCTTTCCAACCAACTTAAAGCTTCATCACAAGCTTCTGTCACAGAAGTCACCTCTTCTGTACTTAAAACCTGAGAAATCTTCTCATTGTCCTCCAGTTGTTTCTTTGTCATGTATGCTAAACCTTCCAAACCATTTTTTGCATCAACCCGTTCTCTGAACTTTTTGTCTTCTTCGGCAAAGTCTTCTCCTTCTTTGACCATCTTTTTGATGTCGTCAGCCGTTAAGCTGATATCACTTTTATCTATCACGATATTGTTTTCCAAGCCCGTGTCCTTGTCCAGAGCGCTGACCCTGAGTACGCCATTAACGTCGACCTCAAATGTGACCTCAATCTGAGGATGACCACGAGGCGCAGCTTTGATGCCAGTCAAGTCAAATCGGCCTAAATGATGGTTGTCCTTGGTATTTGCCCGCTCTCCTTCAAACACCTGTTGGAGATAGAAATGTTTCCTCATAAGACATGTTGTTTTTCATACTTTTTTTCTTTGCTACTGCTAATCATATTTTTTTCTTTTCCAAACATGAAATTGGCATTTAAACAATATCAGGAATCATGGGTGACACTACATGTACAGGCTTTTGTGATTCGACCTTCTGAATTGTGAATCTTTGAGTTTGAGTACGACATCGCACAGATGCGCTCCCTCTTTAGTCCTAATTATGCTCTTCCGAAAAAAGTAGGTTTGCAGAGATCAAAACTGTGTTCTCTAGAACATTAATCTAAGAGAATGATGATAATGCAGGTTCTTTTGTTTCATTTTTTTGGGGGGGGGGGGGGGGGGGGGTGGCAATCCATATCCTATTATGAAAACGTGTTCAGAAGTGTTAAATAATATCGTTTCAAAGAAATTCTGAATGTAATGACCGTGAGAGGGTGAAATATCTTATTGGAAGGTCTTGTGTACTTTTTTCTTACCCTCAGTTGTTTGTCTTTTGTTTTCGCTTTTGTTTGTAGTTGTGCTGCTGTAAACTACCATAAGAAAGGCCTAACGTATACATGCATACGTATACTACATAGCAGTTAAATTGATAAAACAATCTGAAAATAGCAGAAGTCCGACATTCAAATTCGATTGCAGTCCAGAAATGTCAGCAGTTTCGCTTTGGGTATTCCGTTTTAGCCGATGGGACAAGTCCTTTTCCTTTAATGAGGTAGGCCCACACTTCTACTTGAAAAATAGTATTCAAAATCATCTCTTACTACGACCAAGTTCGTCCGTTGGTGGTGTCTCACTCAGTCCTTGCCACAACACGCCTCCAGTTATAATGGCTATGTGGGTGGTTGGCGTGTGCTCTGGTGTGATTTGCTCCTTCTTTCCTATCCAACATCTATCATCCTTATCTCCCCTCTTTTTGTGTGTTTGTTACTCTCTTGTAACACCTCTAATCTTCGGCACTTATGACCTTATTGTGTTGCAAGTGCCGTAAAACACTTACTAAAAAATTATAATGGCTATGATCAGATCGACGAGTGTTTCATTTAGCCAAAAAGGGGGAAACTAACATGACACTCACCTGGATTGTTACAGCGTTTTGATTGTCGGCTGCGGTGGAGAAAATCTGGGACTTCTTAGTTGGAATGGGAGTGTTTCTTTTGATGACAGAGGTCATGACTCCACCCACTGTCTCGATGCCCAGGGTCAGGGGGTTAACGTCCAGGATGACCATACCTTGGTCAGTTTCGCCCGGGGATCCATCCATGACCCAGGCCTGAACTGCTGCTCCGTAAGCAACTGCTTCATCAGGGTTGATCCCTCGATGAGGTTCCTAAATAAAACAGAAGACACAATAATATAAGTCTCTAATTAAAAAAAAAAATTGTCGTTGGAAATATTCACAGCTAGACTGCCAGAAAGGCTAGAAAAACAAGTAACCCCCCCCCCCCCCCCCCCCCAAATAAAATAAATAAAATAAATAAAAAATAAATACATCTAAATAAATACATATAAATGACTAAATAAATCATCATCATCCGGTGCCTTGCCGACTGGCGTGGGCGATCATGGACCTCCACTTCCATCTGTCTTTCGAAGCAGCAATGGTGTCTGTTGTTCTTGCTGCTCCCAGCCATGTTGTCATCTTGTCCAGTATCTTTTCCCTCTGTCTGCCTCTACCTCTCTTTCCATCAAACTTTCCTGTTGTTACAATGTTCTCTAATGCTTCTTTCCGTATTGTGTGTCCGAAAAAATTTGCCTGTCGTTTTCTTATATTCGTGATAAGTTGTTTTCTATAATTTGCTTCAACCAGGACTTCTTCATTTGTTTTTCTAGCTGTCCATGGGATACGTAGCATGCGTCTCATGAACCACAACTCTGCCGCAACAATTGTTTTTTCCAGCTGTTTATTGATTGTCCATGCTTCGCACCCGTATAATAGGATTGGCTCGATGTAGCTTTTCATTACTCTTTTCCTCATTTCCAGTGACAGATTGATGTTTGTTAGTATCTGTTTCATCTTGTGGAAGGTTGCTTTTGCTTGGCAAATGCGGCTTTTAATTTCGGTGTGACATCTACCATCTGATGATATAATGGTCCCCAAATATCTAAAATGTTGTACTTGCTTCAGGGTGGTATCATTGATTTTGATATTGCATGTTGGGATTGGAGTATTTCTGCTTATCACCATCGTTTCGGTTTTCTTGATGTTTAGGTTTAAGCCCATGTTGTCACTCTCTTGTACGATGACATTTAATAGATTCTGCAGGTGTTCTTCATCTTCTGCTATTAGGACTGTGTCATCTGCATTATATCTTAGATTGTTTATATTATGTCCCCCTATCGAGATACCAGGCATTTCTTCTATGTGTCTCATGATATTTTCACTATACAGGGAGACAAGTCTGGAGAAAGTACACATCCTTGTCTGACTCCTCTTTTAATCTGTATGTATTCGCTGATGTCGTTTTCTATTCTCATTGCAGCCGTTTGATCCCAGTACATGTTTTTGATAATCCGTAAGTCCTTCCCGTCGATATTAAGAACTTCCAGCATGTCGATGATCTTGTCGTGCCTGATTTTGTCGAATGCCTTGGTGTAGTCTATAAAACATAAATGAAGATCTTTCTGAACTTCTAGGGCACGTTCTATTGTTGTTCTGATGACATATGGCATTTACAGTGCCTTTGCCTTCAATAAATCCACATTGTTCTTGGGCTATTTCTGGGATAATTTTATTTCTTATTCTCATCATAATTATTCTGAGTAATATTTTTGTTATGTGGCTCATGAGGCTGATGGTACGATGTGTTTCACATTCGTTTGCATTGGGTTTCTTTGGTAAAGCTATGAAGATAGATTTTGACAAGTCTGATGGAATATGTCCAGTGGCATATATGTTGTTAAGAAGTTTTGTCAGCGTGGTGATTCCAAAGTCTTCTAAAGCTTTAATCATCTCTGTGGTGATGTTGTCCGGTCCTGCCGCTTTCCCATTCTTCATCTTTCGTAGTGCCTTGACAACTTCTTCTTTCATGATTGGTGGTCCCTCGTTGTTATTTTCCACTCTTCTTTGTTCATCTCTTTTGTCATTGTACAGGTCACCGATATCTAAATAAATAAATAAATTAAAAAAAATTAAATTAAATTAAACGGCAAGTTTGATATGAATGTATGATTTGAAACATGACTGGAGAGCATCCTTCAACCTCCCTCTATTTCGTTTGAATCATCACTACTCTTATTAGCGGGTCTTTTAGGAAGCGGAGAGATGGACCTTTTATTAGAACGTACCTTTCCGTTGAACAACTCCTTGACCAGCTGTTGCACTTTGGGGATGCGAGTAGACCCGCCGACCAGGATGACCTCATCCACCTCCTCTGGTGAGGCGTCCGCATCTTTCAACGCCTTGCGAACAGGTGTTAGTGTGCTTCTGAACAGATCCTGAAATTGAGAGTAAGTTAGGTACATTGTAGTGAGAAGCCAGTGGAATAAATAGACATGTACTAGTACTGGAACTCCGTGCTACTAAAAAAATCACACCGTTATATTGGTTTTAATATTATTTTGGTAAAAAGAAACATCTATATAATTTAATATTGGTCCTACGCAAAAGCCCCCCCCCCCCCCCCCAAGCGATATCTCATTTCGAACAAAGCTGAGGATTTTTTATTTTTAATTCAAACGGGAAGTCAGTCCTGTTGTATGGGTGTGAGACCTGGAACGGATCACAAACTTGCATAAAGAGGATCCAGGTTTTCTTGAACATGTGTCTAAGAAAGTTACTGAGGATCAGATGGGTCAAGGTAAACAAGACAGAGCCCAGTCAGAGATGAGGAAGGGAGAAAGTGATGGCCATGGATAGGACATACTCTTAGGAAGTCAAACAGCTGCATAACAAAGAAAATGTTGGAATTGAATCCACAGGATAATAAAAGATCAAAGGGAAGGCCGCGTGGAATCTGGAGAAGAATAACAGAAATTGATGTTCAGAAAAGTGGGAAGACATGGAGTAACACCAAGAGGTTAGCCCAGGATAGAGAAAGGTGGAAAGTGTTTGTCCGTGGCCTGTACCCTGGTGCAGGATGAGAAAGGCAATGGTGATGCAACAGCCCTGGCATGCTATGCATAAAAATATTATGTTCAGGGATGTTTTTAGAGCAATCTGTTATTTATCAGCAGTTTTTTAAAACTTTGTTTCCAATGATTATAAGCATGGCTAGGAGTTTGAGAGTTTTGCTGTACTTTGAAAATGCAGGTTCCACTACCCGAATCAATTATTGTGACATTACCGAACATCTTAGGACAAGGGGATACTATTATGTTATGGATCCAGTAATGTTCTCTCACCATATTAAGATCTTCAAACTTGGACCTGGACAACGTTTGTGAGAAATCTTGACCATCCACTAGGTCGTCTATCTCAAGAGTGACCTGCTGCTGGGTGGACAGTGTACGTTTGGCCATTTCCACCTCTCGTCGCAGCTTCTGCATCGCCCGTGTGTTGGACCGGATGTCTTTGCCTGTTGATTTCTTCACGGCCTTGACCATGTAGTTCATCACCACTTGATCAAAGTCCTCTCCACCTATAAGAAAAAAGTTAATGTTGAATTAGCCTTTATGATTAAATCAGCAACCCCCCCAATTGAACAAACAAAGAGGTTACATAATTTTACGGAAATAGTCGACCTACGTGAGTTAATTAACATAATATACATACATTTTCTGAGACACAAATTGGCTCGTCGGTGCTAAAAATTGTCCCCAGGATAAGCGTATATTGACACTGATAGAATGATTATATTATTAACTCTCGGAAAACACTTTTAAGCAGGCTGTTTTTATTAACAAAAAATGCAATCGATCACGCAATCGCTTTCATTCATGAGCTAGAAGAAGCACAAAACGCTCATTAAAACAGTTGCCACCTGATGACTTTATTTACACTGCCTTTAGACATTCCAACCAAGGGATATCAGTACCTAAATGAGTGTCCCCATTCGTAGATTCCACTTCAAACACTCCATTGTCCATCGTCAGTACAGACACGTCGAAAGTCCCGCCTCCAAGGTCAAATACAAGTACTCTTTTCTCTCCTGAATTTTTGTCAAGACGATAAGCGATAGAGGCTGCCGTCCTGAGGAAAAAAGAAGATAAAGTAATGATGAGACAGTGGGTTAAACAATACATTTGTTTCTGTCCACATTTAAATGATGATATGGTTTCGCTGGTTGTTGTTACTTTTAGTTGTGTGTATGCGTGTTTGTGTGAGTCTGAGTAAGTGAGTGAGTGAGTGAGTGAGTGAGTGAATGAGGGAGTGAGTGAGCGAGTCTGTGAGTGTGTGTGGTGAGTGAGTGAGTCTGTGAGTGTGTGTGTGTGTGTG